ACATGTCTTCGACGATGGCAAATTTGATGAATGGGTCAAACTACCAGCAATGCTTGGTTTGTCGTCCAATGGTCAAATTCATATTATCATGAATTTTCGAGTAAGTAACACTTGTTTTTATTTTCACAAAACAACTAAATATGTGTCTTCTCATTCTAGCCATCCTAAAGTCATGTTGGATTGACTCACACGGCGAACTTCGATTGTTTTTTTTTCAATAATTGAGCTTGATTTTTTTCTTCATATTATAATAATTCCTCATGAATCCTACTATCAGTTTGTTACTTTGCAGTAAGAACTTTTTCGATACAATTACTAATAAATATGTATTGGGCACAAACAAATTTTTTATTGATATAGAGACAGACTTATGAAAAGAGCGAATGTGCAAAAAAAAACTATTCAATAACATTTCTGTGAGGTATTGAATTCTCACAATTAAAAAGAAAGACAAGAAAGCGTGGTCCGTTTCAATGCATCGTCAATTGATACGAAAACGTTATCTTTCTTGAATATTCTAGGTGACTAATATGATCATGTCATTTGAATGTGGGCTTCATATCTTTTGTATATAGAAAGTTCTTCATCAAAACCTCATTTTACCCGATGCGAAGATAGTGTTGAATGATAACCCTTAACCTTGGCAAAGAATTGCCGCACACATGCTTACAGATATTGATGATCATCTTCTTGAAGTACTTCGACGTTCGACATATAAACACTTATCAAGCTTTTAGAGTGCTAAAAGAAAACTAGTTATTTTCCCTTTTGCTCATAACCCAACGTGGTTCGACGGTTTTGAATCACGTTCATAGGCAGTTTATCTCTTCTTCTGAATAAAAGAAACTCCATTTCATTTCTGATTCTGCGTTGCATCTCGAGCATAATCATCTGGTCAGTGTCAATCGTCGTTTGTAAACTATGTAGCTTTTGTTGTACTTATATGATAGGCACATTCCATTAAAACTTGACCGATAGAAATAATACTATCCAGTCTTGCCGAGCTGATGCTACGCAATTCGTGCTTGTGTGTAGTCTGCAAGAAAATCTTCATCAAGCACAAAGTTATTGAAAATCCATGTGATATACAACCTTGGAGACGTGTTGATATGAAATGAAATTAGACACTACGATGAATATTTACATTTTATATTCTCTGTCCAATGATACTGCACATTCAATGAAGGATTCATCATCAATAAGCAGCGCGTCTGATATTCTATGATGCCATCTGTTTCAAACATCATTGACGATGGTGAAATCCGATTGATTTTTAATGATATTGGATTAATTTTGGCAATGCAAATATGAATCCTGGAGAGAATCAATTTTGTGAATGAAGACTAAATATGAAACATTGTCATATATTCTTATAAATATTTGAATATATTTGAATAATATTCGAATTTCAATCAAATGCAATGTGTAGAAAATTATTCTATTCCACTGAAAATATAACAATAATATAGGTCGAGAATTATTATTGACCTTTCCGTATTGTTATTTATAGTAGTCTTTCCTACTTGAGAGAGTGAACACATGTACACTTTAAGCTACTGTTTTCTACTGATCAAAGTCACTTGGGAAATGGCAATCCATTCGTCTTTTCAAATGTCATGTTAAGTAATGTAATTGATATTGTTTGAATCTATATAAACTTGTGAGTCAGCTCATTTAAGCCTGGGCATGGGTGTGTAGGCGTTACTACGTAGATGTCGGTATGAATCTCAGAATAGACAAGGTGTATCTGCGAATATCGATGTGAGAGTTGTTGTGGTTGTAAAGCGTGGGTTTCGTTGTGAGTGGATGTCGTTGTGGCGTTATAATTGTATATTTAAGGATGTGTATGAATCTTCTTTTGACTTACACCTACATCCTTACGATTTCGAGCACTTTCCAAAATAAAGTCCGTCGCAAAATCAATGAATTCTTAGTCCAAATAGTGAGATTGTGCCAAAATTAGAATAAATTATGAATAATGTGACGAAAACAAATGAAACTTTTGACACAATAATAGTATTTATTGATAAATACAAGAAAGTAATGCATGAAAAATTGAAGGAAATAAAATTCTATTACGAGATATTATTTTTCTAAAGAACAATGATGAAACAGTAGAAAAAAATCAGTTCACCACGAATTAAACTCGAAAAGGCACAAAAATATATAGACAAAATGATTTAAGCCTGTTTTGATGAAATGTCAAAAGTTATTATACCACTTAGTTGAGATCAACATGGTTGTTCATTAAATCCAACTCTCAAGATAAAAATCGAAATAATTTGTACAACATTGAAATTAACTTTACAAGAAGAGTAGTAATGAGTGTCTTCTCATGTTATTCTTCTTTTCTTCTTGTGCTTCGCAAGGAAGACTTTCTGAAATAAGAATATTTTTATGCCAAGTCTACAGAGACTTTCATTTAGATCTCAAAACAAAATAATGCAGAGATAGAAGCAGTATTATCTTGAATTCACGCCCTTTTTTTAGTACTGTTTATTATTGATTTGCTCAGCTCCTCAGATCGAATAGAAAAGTAGACGGGGTATGCATATGTGAGTATGAGTCTAGAGAAAAACTGCTCACACTTCAACCACTCAGGATAATAGCTTCTAGAGTAGTATTGTTATCACTTTTTTGTTCTGAGTTCTTTTCGCAAATTCACATGGGATTGACAAATTTCTTCTATGTTTAAAACCTTACTTTATGTTCGATACGATTAGGAATAACACGAACACTTTCTTGAAGAGCATTTGCACTAAAATGGTTCAAACAGGTATCTAATTTAGTCATTCAACTTATTTTGCACTTTGATTCATGTAGAAATTTAAGATAAAGTTGTATCGAGTCCCTGTTTTCCTACAATCTTAGGATTCTTTGAAGAACTGCAATGTTTCTTTCTCAGTCTATTAGAAACGAGTGAATCGATAGAAAATGTGTTATATATTTTTTTGTCTCAATCACCATTGTGACTAATGCAAAACTAATCAAAGCCTGATCATTCTGGTTTCAGATCATTGATTTGGTATTGCAAAGCATTTTGAATACCATCTATTCTGATTCGCGAAATTGCATCAATTGAATAAAATCATCCTTTCGATGATACGAGCTCTTTACATTCTATAACTTCATCATGTCCATTTGGTGATTTTTAGAACGCACATCATTTGATCCATGTGAGCAACAACAACACAGCACCATGTTAGAGATCGGTATATTCTATATAATGAGAGTATCAAATGTTGATATCATGCATCCGTTTTACCTATGCTTCCTAATTGACAAACAATAGAATTTTGAATTTTTTCACAAGATCTGCCATGAAATTCACGGCAACGACTATGTCAACAAAATTATCTTGACTTGTCTTAATCTTTATTTTAGCGACCTAAAACATGAGATGTTCGAGATGCTATAATTTTCTATTGAGACAATGGAATAAGTGTTCTTGTAATCTTGAATTTATTATCGACGTTAATCTTATTTTGTTGGAAATCTTTTCTTTATATAGCAATACGACTAGCGTGATGTTCTCGATACTCAAATGATGACCATGTTCTAATAAAAACTAGAGGTCAGAACGGTTCAGTATAAGTGTGAATGTACACACTCACAATCTCATGTAGTATATCTGCTCTCGGCTCTTATGGATCACGTTCTGCAATTAGTTAATTTTTTTTTTTAATTATTAAGGTTGAACAAGTAATTGGCAGACATTAGTTATTGTCATTTGAAACACTCAAACCTCTCAATCGTTTACTTTTATTTACCATACGATAATAAATCTTGAGTTTATCCAGAAAAATCGTAGTTTTACACCAATTTATTCAACCACTATGAGACGACTTTTTGTTTTTTATATAATTGATTTCTATATTTTGTTGTTTCTGCGCCTAACACTATCATCAGAGAAAAAGTAATAGCATAAATTTTCTTTCTATCCAGAACAGATTGATTAAATTATAAGAACACAAGAATAGTATGTAGAACAATGGAAATTACTCATAGTGAACGAACAATTATACGATTACATTTTTATCATGATGACGTTCATTATATCTCCATATAACAATAATATATAAAAATCCGAGATTCTAGTATAGAGAATATCGCAGCATCTTGTATCTATAATATGAATATAAGTCTAGTTCGCCAGTATAGATTCATGTGACAAAAGGATATTGCTAAAAGAAATCAAAACTCAGTTTATACCTTTTTTTTGTCACTTGTGATACTATTGAAACGTCATTTTTTGTATATTATTAGTTAGATCTACATCTGTAATCGCAAATACTAATTACATCTTACTAGATATTTTCTGTGAGATTTTCTACAGAACGGTACCTAATTAAATTATGTTCCTTGATTTTGTTTACTAAATTATGTTTTCAAAATCTTTTATATAAAACCAATTTTATTTATATCATTTTAAATCATACTTTTTACTCACACAAAATGTTGCGTGCATGTCTTATTTAAGCAAATTGGTGTTAAGAACGCATGTCATCGAAAAGTAATTTGCAAACTAGTGACCTCTATCAGCTATTTCCTAGATTAACTTGAATAATTAAAGGTGTCAAACTAAAACTAATTTGTGAATAATTTTCTAAATAGTTTTCAACAAATTTTCCTTTATTAGAATAACTTTTATATCCAATCCTGCGTTACGTTATTGTTTGTCATTTTTACTGTGTACTAATGACTGTATGTTTTTCTTTTTTCTTTTTTTGGCTTTTCTTTTTTCTTTTTTCTTTCTATTATGATTTGCTTCCTGAAAAGCGCATGATGAACGAAGAAGAAGAAGAAAAAGAAAGAAAATTGTAGCATCGTTGGCACTGTCATTTTTATCATCACCATTATTTGACGTTCTTCGTCATTTTTTTTCCAATATTCTCATAAGGATAATAAGTTGATTCTTACAATAAGGTACCACTTTGTTTTCATTTTAGAATGATTTTATTATATCAAAGAAACATAACGTGCTAATCAAATAAAAAAATATGCTTAACACATTTACCGATGAAAATGATACTAAAGATATGAGTTGTATAAATCCATTTGATTTACCAACCTCAACAACAGATCCTTTTGGAATCTCAACTAGTATGAAGTTATCTGAATCATCAGAAAAATTTGATGATAATCCATTTATTATTGATACAAATAAAGAGAAAATGATTCGACATCGAAGTGGTAAAGAAGCATTATCATCAGCAAATTGGCTTGCTTATCAACATTCAATGGATGAAGGTAATTTCGGTTTATTGGAAGACGTACAAGATAAATCATTAATAACACAATCAGATAGTGTTAATCCTATGAATCCATTTTTAACTTCAACAACACCATCAAATACAAATCAATCAAATGAAAGAATATCTCAAATTTCTTCAGTTGATTTTTTATTTGATGTTAACGTTGATCCAAGTACAGTACGACCAATAACTTCTGATAATTCATTAACAAATCTTGATCAAAATCAATCATCTGATGATCTTCTTAATTTCAATCAAACAAATAAATCATCTATTCTAACGGAAACACCATATAATTCAACATCTACAAACACTGAATTATCAAGTTTAGCACATACACAAGCAATGGCATCAACAATAATAACTAATACAACATCAAATTCAGCATATAATGATCAATTTTTAGACTGGTTAACACAACCTAATAATTTGATGTCTGATGTTGATCTAAAAAAGAATGGTACCAATGTAATTAAAAATACTGAAGATGTTTTAGAAAATATTCATCTACAATTATTATCGACATTGCGTATATATTATACATTTTTATTTTTTTTTTTTTATTGATTGAAATTCTTTTGTTTGATTTAAGCAACTTCTCAAGAAAGTATTTCACCATCATCATCATCATCGATTTTGATTTCTAAACAATCAATAGGTGGTTCAATAAATGAAGGAATACCATCGATTTCTATTCATGAATCAATAATTGTACATAATGATAGCAATGTTAGACGAAAAGAACATATTGATAATAAAAAAAATAATCAATCTGAAGATGATTCAGATGAAGACTCAAAAATGATGTTTAAAATCAAAGAAGAAAAACAAAATCTATCAAATAATACAAATATTCCTGTACCATTATTACCTCCACCACCATCATCATCAAAAAATTATAAAAAAACAAGTGATGATGTTAGTTCATCAACATCATCATCATCAGAAACAGATCATCAAGATGATGATGATCCATTTGCTATATTTCAATCAAAATCTACTCAAAATAAAACAAATCAACAACTAGAAAAAAATCTTTTTACAGATTGGAATGAAGATAAAACAAAAATAAATGAAAAAGTAGATGAATCGGTATGCTTAGTATTTTTATGTATGTGTTTATTGTTGTCTTGTCTATGTAGCAAATCTTTTCGAGGTTGGTGTTGTTTTAATATTGATAATATATTATTGTTCTTTTTTCTTTTTCTTTTTTACAATTCTCATTGATTGAATTCTAGCAAGAAAAAGTGCAATCATTACCATTAGATTATTATTTACATGAACCAGATTATGATGATAGTGCACCATTAGAACCCTATCATAATGATATAAATGAACTACAATTACAACAACTTAATGGTTGGTTATTACAAATTCGTGTACCATTAAGACAAAAAGATTTATATAAAAGTACTTTTCAACGATTTAGTGAAACACGTAAGAATTTCTCAAGTTTAAAAGATTTAAATAAAATTCATTCTTGAATAGGTACCTGGCAAGAATGTTATGTTCGAATATTCTTCGATGAAAAAAAATTACGTTTTTATCTTCCAGAAACCATCGAAAAATCTTTTGCTGAAATTTCTTTACAAACATGGTATCAATGTACAAAACTTAGTCTTCAACAATATGATCAATATAGCAAAATTCATACATTTAAAATTTTTGAAGCAAATTATCGTGAAGTTCCTCAAGTTCGTATTGATCGTCTTGTAACATTACCAGAAAAATTACTAAGAAAATTTACTCGACCAAATAAAGCTCAACAAGTTTTATTAGATCATGCAAATTGTGTTCAACAAGAAATTGTTAAATTTGGTCAATTAAATTATACTTATTTAAAACAATTTTCAATTATATTAGATGATTTATTTTGGTCAATGCCTATTACACGTAATCGTTTTCAAAAACATTTAAAAGAAGAAATAACAATTAAAATCTTGGATGAATATTATGCACATATTGATATTTATCGTCATATATATAAACATAAATCTCGTACACGTTTATTTGTTTTAGCTTTTTTAAATGATGAACAACCAATTATTGAAATTGGTATCAATGATTGGTTTCGTCATGGTAAAGAAGTTAATAAACGTAATGAAATAATTATTAATAAAACATTACAAGAATATTGGATTAAACCAGAACAAGTTGAATTAGCATCAATTATTGATTCAAATGAATATGAAAATACACATTTACTTAAATTAATACCACCAGATAGTTATAGAATTGAAATAATGCGTTTTCGTACAAGACCTAAACAAAATATTGAATTACCATTACAAGTAAGAAAAATCAAAATAGCAATACTTCTTCAAGAAAATTAATTAATTTTATTTAGGTTTATTGTTTTATGTCGGTTATTGATCGTCAAGCAAATATAAGAATTGAAGTAACTGTATCAAATGCATTTAATATAAGTATATTATCAAAAACATCATCAATAATAGCAAATGATAAAACAGCTAATATACGTGATGACAATAGTGATGAACAATGTCCATGTGAAGATATTCAAATACGTTTTCCAATACCTGATCCATGGGTTTATATGTTTCGAGTTGAAAAACGTTTTCGTTATGGAGCTATACATAGTGTTCGTCGTAAAGCAGGAAAAATAAAGGTAAAAATTTAAGACCTATTTTGTAATATCTTCATAATAATAATATTTTTATGCAATATTGTTTTATAGATAAATAACAATAATAATATAAATATGATTCTCGTAAAAAAATATTATTTAATTCATAAGCAGATTGAATCTAATGTTTGCTTTATAGAATATAAGTTAATATGTCAGAGATATTTTGATTTGCTTTTTTTGGCATTTCACAACAAGCAATTTTTCTAAGAGAAACATTTTTAATAACGATATGGAATCAAACATAGGTTATAAAAGCAAAGGAAATAGCTCAATTAAGAAGCTGCCCGCTGGAAGTAAATGCTTTTTTTATTTAAAAAGGTAGTGCATATGTATGTCATCGAGTAAATCGAATAAAAATAATTTTATTCCTAATATTCAAATAATGAATTAAAGACTAAGATCGAAAAAACTATTATACTACGCGATTTTTTTTTATTATTTATAATTTATAAAATTTCAATCAATTTTATTTAGGGTCTTGATCGTTTAATGATTAATCGTAATGATGGTCTCATTCCATTAATGGCTGCATCAGCTGGTATAGCTAAATATGAACAAGCATTTCGTTCAATAGTATGGCGCATTGATCAATTACCAAAAAGAGATCAAGGTGCTTATAAAACACATTTATTCGAATGTAAAATTGCAATACCATCATATGATCCCATACCAGAAAAATATGACCCGATTGTTGATGTTGAATATTCTATGTCACAAGCATTTATTTCACATTGTCAAGTAAATGAATTTTGATTATTATTATTAGTAGTAGTAGTAGTGGTAATGTTTATTTGTTTTTACTTTTATAGATTCGTTCAGTTGCTGTACCAAGTGCTGAAGAAACACCAGAGAAATGGATACGTTCAAAAAGTCGATTTATTTATACAATTGATATTGAATATGCATTTAAAGAAGAAGAAAAAAAAGATTTTGCACCTATTGAAATTGATATGAAAGAACAGCCAATGACACAAAGTGAAACAGAAAATAATTCACAATCAGATGATAGTGATTGAAAACAAAAATTATTAATTTTAATTTCAATTAAATTCTTGTTTTCTATGCAAAAAAAAAGAATGTTGTTGTACACCCAAATATATTTTCCTTTCATGTGATATTTTTCATTTTCACCTGCTTATTGTATTAAGAGTAATCCATATGATTTATTTATTTATTTATTTATTTTGAATTTTCATCATTATTTGATGTATGGTCTGTGTCTGTTGGGTTTTTTTTCTTGATGTCTAATAAATAAATACATGTTCATAATTAATTTTAGATATTTAATAAAAATGACGGCGCACAGTAGTACACGTTCATTAAGACAACATATTCAACGTTCGCTAGGTGATGATTTTGTTGAACCACCTTCCATTATATCAACAATGGCCAATGAGGATGATAATGATGATGATGACGATGATGGAACTGAAGATTTTCAACCAAGAGCTGCTCCATCGAGAGGACGATCACGTGTTGGTGGAAGACAATCACGAGTAGGCCAAAAAACAAATCCAACTATAAATCAAGTTGATGATGATTCCATGGAAACTAGTTCAACAACTATTAGAACAGGAAATAATAATACAACATATGTTGATCAACAGTCTGAAGAAAAAGGATATTTTCATCATTTATTAGTTGGAAAAACAAATATACAAGTATTAGTTGATCAATGGATTGATTCCTATCAAGCTAATCGTGATGAAGCATTAATTGAATTAATGCAATTTTTTTTGGATAGTAGTGGTTGTAAAGGAAAATTAACACAAACAATGTATTTAAAAATGGAACACGTTGATATGTTACGAACTATGACTGAACATTTTGATGAGGTAAAATATATATATTGTTTTGTCATAACTAATTTACACTCATAAGTTTTTCTTATGACGATATTTGATATGATTTTACATGATTCCCTGATACTGTATGGAAAATTTTACAGATTTTAGAAATATCAAATTCAATTGTTCAGATTGCCTGAATAAAAAACGAATACATAAGATATGAATTCATCGTAAATAAAAGGTTTCTGTTATTTTTTTAAAATTTTTCGACGTTTTTAAATTTATCTTATGATTAAATTCTTAGATTGCCTAGACCTGATTTAAATTATAGGAAAAGTAAACTGATTAAGGCGAAAAAAGACAGATTGTTGATATCGAACAAGTTACAGTTCAAAGTATTTAAAACTTATTTAATAATATTTTTTTACATAATCTTAATTCAGAATATCATATAGTCGAACGAAGAATTCTTAATTTTTTACAGAGATATTGTTTTGAGGAACATCTTCCTATAATAATCGCTTGTCCATTGATGAACATAAAGAAAAGTTTTTCTAATTTATCAAACTGATAAATGAAGTTATCCAGATGTTCGATACAGAAGATACTTTGTGAATTAAAATTTGCTCAGATTCGAACTGTCTTCAATTGAATTAATTTACTTCTAGTCCAATTTTAACTAGGTTTGGACAAAACTCGAATTTTTATTTTTTTTTCGTATGAAATACAGATTTTCAATATTGACTGCAACATATATAAATTATAACGGTAGACATATGACACATATCATTAGTTAAGGATGAACACGACTTATTTTATTTGTAGAATGTACATGATTAACTCTTAGTAATAGCAGCTCTATTATTAGAAAAATATTTTGTGTGTTTAACTTATAGAAACATAATTGAACATTAAAATTAAAAATTTTATTAATTAAGTAGAATTTTTTTTTATAATAGATATTAACAAGTTAATTCCAGATGATAATATATAATAGAATGTTTGAGTTTTATAATATTTTCTTTTAGGATACATCTGAATATCCAATAATAATGTCTGGTTTACAATATAAAAAATTTCGTTCATCATTCAGTGAATTTGTTGTTTTATTAATTAAACAATCATCCTATTCGATTATATACGATCAATATATGATTGATAATATTGTTACATTATTAACTGCTTTATCGGATTCACCTGTTCGTGCATTTCGTCATACAGGAACTCTAGCTGGTAAAATTAAATTTTTATCTATGTGAATGAAAATACAATAAAAAAATCTTTATGTTATATTTAGTTTTAAAAGTTATGACAGCTCTTGTTGATATTGCATTAACAATAAGTATACAAAAAGATCAATGTCAAAGACAATATGAAGCTGAAAGACAAAAATCAAGCGCAAGACGAGCTGCTGATCGACTTGATACATTAACAGCTAAACGGAAAGAGGTTTGATTGAAAAAAAAATCATTAAATTTCAATATTTTCTTTTTTGTAGCTTGAAGGAAATGAAAATGAAATAAAAAGTTTTATGAATTTTATATTTAAAGGTGTTTTTATTCATCGTTATCGGTATAAATTTATTTCTTTTTAATAATTCATCGTATAATCTTAATTTTATTCAGAGATGTTGTACCAGATATTCGATGCTTATGTATGAGTGAACTTGGTGAATGGATGAAAAGTTATCCGATGGTTTTTCTTGATGATATTTATCTTAAATATATTGGTTGGACGTTATATGATAAAGTAATCAAAAATCAACTACGAAATTTTCTTAAAAATTTAATTTTTTAGGTTGGAGATTGTCGTTTACGTTGTTTACTTGCATTAATACCATTATTTCAAACAACAGTTCTTGTTGGTAAACTTGAATTATTTACTAATCGTTTTAAAGTAAAAAGAAATAAAAAATAAAAATTTCTTAGATATTTTTTTTATCATTTTTTTTCTCAAAGGATCGTATTGTACAAATGACAGTTGATTGTGAATATGAAGTAGCGGTACAAGCAATAAAACTTTTAACAGCTATATTAAAGTAAATTTAATGTAAAACGAATAGAAAAACAAAAGATAATAATTAATTTGTTTTTTAAATAGATTTAATGATCGTATACTTGAAGATAAAGATTGTGAAAATATTTATGAACTTGTTTATCATTCACATCGACAAATTGCACAAGCTGCTGGAGAATTTCTTAATCAAAAATTATTTCTTAAAGCTGAACAACCATTAAATTCATCAAAAAAACGTAGTCAAAATACTACTTTTATGCATTTGCTTGTACAATTTTTTATTGAAAGTGAAGTAAGTTTAATAATAAATAACAAAATGAAATATAAAAACTAAAAATAATATCATAAAAAATTTATTGAAAGCATATTCTTTATTTATTTAGCTTCATGAACATGCAACCTATTTAGTTGATTCAATGTGGGATCAACATCCAATGATGAAAGATTGGGAATGTATGACTGATATATTATTGGAAGCACCTGATCAAGAAGAAGATTGTAAGTATTAAATTTATAACATATTATTAAAAATCAATTTTGTTTTTAGCACTTGATGATCAACATGAAAATTGTTTAATTGAAATAATGGTTTGTTGTGTACGTGAAGCTGCAACAGGTGAATATCCAATAGGTCGTGGACAACCAAATCGAAAAGTATATGATAACAGCAGACTTTCTCTTTATTTTTTTATTTGTTAATTATTTTTTATCTTTTAAGTTAACAATGAAAGAACAAAAACAAAAAGAAGATGATAAAAAAGTTTTAACCGATCATTTTATTACTACTTTACCACCATTACTTAATAAAGTAAAAAATTTTTTTAAAAGTATTTTGTTAATATTTTATTTTCAAAAAAAAAAAAATCTTTAGTATATTGCTGATGCTGATAAATTACTTAATTTATTACAAATTCCATTACATTTTAATTATGACGTTTATACAACAACACGACGTGAACGTGATCTTGATACTTATTTAAATGCATTGAGTGATATTGTACAACGTCATACTACAGCTGAAGTTTGTTTAATTATTTTCGTTTTTTTTTTTTTGTATCTGTCTTATTATGTTTTTATTGTTGTTATTGTATTAGATATTTGATGCTGTTTCAAAATGTTTTGAATGTCTATGTGACGTTAGTTTTACATTATCAAATCGAGCTATTGCACATCGAGGAAATATTATTGATAAAATTTTAGCAAATTTTAATGCAGCTATGGGTATTTTTGAAGAAATGGTATGTGATTGATTTTTTCTTTTGTGTGTAATCAAAGAAATTATTTTTGTTTTTGATTATAGGATGAAGCAGATGAAGATGATTTATATCCATTATTACTTAATTTAAGAAAACTTGATGCATTTCATCAGTATGACTCATCACTTTAGCATAGATATTGTGTATTGAAGGATTGTGGTTTTTTTTTTTACAGATGCCATGATTTGGGAAATACGGATTTATGGGATAAAATACATTTATTATTCAAAGCAGCTATTGATAATGAAGATATGTCACCAGAGGTTTATTTTCAATAGAATTCAATTAATTGTTTTTGAAAAGTTTCTATTTGGTTTTCTTATAGATTGTTGATAAATGTTTTGGTATTGCTAATCGTACTTTACTTTGGGGATTATATCACTTGGATATACAATTTGATAAGGTAAATATTACTTTTTGCAAGTTGGTAATCTTTCTCTATGAGGTTTTTTTATGGTAAAGAATAGTTACAATTAATGGCATATTTAAGGTAACTATTCGATAGTCAAAGATAACCAATTATTGAAGACTAAATGGTTCAGATAATATCTTATCTTTAGTAGTTTTTTCTCAAATGTTTTCTAAAACAAAAATACTTGAATAAAATTTTTGTTGTTCATCAATATGCTCATACAGAGAGTATAGAATTTCTTTTAAATGTTATAATCATAATTGGAATAAAATTTCGACTTTGTTGTATTGCAGCAAATTTTTTTAATAATTGAACTAAATGTTCTGCATTAATTATAATTTTGATACAGAGTTGCAATCAAGGGGGGAAAAGCAGATTTTGGCACCTAAAATCTTTAGAAATCTTTAGAAATCTTTGAAAGTCTTTAGGAATCTTGAAATCTGCTTTTTCCCCCTTGAGTTCATAGGTATGCTTTTATAAAAGCTTCTAGAATCATCGATTTTTTTATAATTGGTGATCACAATCGAAAAACTGAATTCTATTCTGAGAGAGAAATAGTCATGAACCATAGATTTTCTAAGAAAAATTTTGTTATGGTGTGATTAACACTAAATTGAATTTTCAATGAATCTATTTGATGTTTAATTTCATGTACACTAGACTAATTATTTTAATTTTACACAAAGATATTCGTTGTAATGGACAATCATGTATAGATAATAGCTAAAAAATATCGAAAGTTGATAATAAAAACTATCAGATAAATATATTTTGTGAAAAGGAATTGTTATCGAAGTAGCAGAAGAATTTCTCAAAATGTTATATTCTAAAGTTTTCGTAACCTTCAAGATATATTTCTAATTCAATTCTTTTCTATGTTTTTTCACTTGACATTTTGCTTTTTCTAATAGAAACTAATGAAGTCTCTACGGTATTGCGTTATAATACTAAATCAAAAAAAAAAAAAGTTATAATGGCCAGGTTTTGTACACTAATTATTTTAAATAATCTTCTTTTATATATTTTTCAATTAATTTTTACAGAAAGAGTATAGTATTATCGTTCTATTCAGATTATCCAATAGATTATCTACACTAATTTAATAAAACTAATCCATCGGAAAAGGGCGTTTTGTTAATAAGATTAAAAAAACTCTTAGTCTTGAAAACAAGCCACCACATTCTTCAATTATAATTTACACTAGAGCAGCATTATTAATCTATTAAATTTATATGAGAATAATATAATTAAAATTTTTAAATGTTTATTATATAGGATTTATTAAAAAAACTTGTAAAACGAACTCGAAAATTGTGTACATTATGTCAAAAATTAATGTTACATGCCAATACTCAAATATGTCATTATGCATATTCAACATTATGTGATTTATTAATAAGTATGAGTCCACATTTAGTTGATAAAAATCCTGATTATCAAGCACTTATTATTGAAATAAATGAAAATCTTATTCAATCATTATTAACATTTTTAAATACATATGTATTTTTTCCTGAAGAACCTAAAAGTAATAAACAAAATTCTTTTGTCTTTTTTTTTCTTTCGTATTTTCATTTTCATAAAATTTTCAATCAATTCAATCTTTTTATTATTTATTAGATCAAGATGAACAAGCTAAAATTGAAACACTTCATAAAAAACGTAATCTTCTTGCTGCTTATTGTAAATTAATCGTACACAATGTATTACCTATACAAGCTGCAACAAATATACTTAAATATTATGTTAAAGTAAAATAAATAATATCTTAGTTTGTTTTTATTTTGTTTTAAATTAATTTATTTTGCTATTTTATATGTTTAGTATAGCAATGATTTTGGTGATATTATTAAAAATACATTTACACGTGCTCGGGATATTTCAAAAATTCATACTGCTAAAACAATGGCTTATAGTCTTATGGCTGTATGTAAAAAGAAAAAAAAAACAGAAACTTTTTGGTTTTTCTCTTTTTGATAGAATTAATCATATGATTTTTGTTGAATAGATTTTTAAAGATTGTGTTGCTGTTCGAGATGCTGCTCAACAAGCAGCTGGAAATGATGAAATAGTTAATATTGATCTATCACCATTACGAGTATGAAAAATACTAATCAATAATAATTTATTATTTGTTTGTTTGTTTTTTCTGTAGGAATTAGCTCGTCGATTTAATCTTTCATTTGGTCTTGATATGGCAAAACAAAGAGAAGCACTTGCTGCTCTTCATCGGTATTATATATTGATTTCTGTTTTGTTCTTTTGACGATTTTTTTTTTTAAATATTTAGTGAATGTATTCGTTTTGCTTTAACACCTTTATTTAATCATGATGATCCAACACAACCCGGTTCGAATATTCTCTTTCTTGAAGTATTACCAGAATTTGCTTCAAAACTTCTTAAGCCAGATAAAAAAGCAATGTAAATATTTAAATATTTTTAGAGTGATGTTCGTCTGTTTTTCTTTTCTTATATTCTAGTTTTGATCATCTTGATAAACTCGTACACAATGTAACGATTGAAGGTGATGCATGGCAACCATTAATTAATTATCGTCGTATACTTAATGATGAACCTGGTGGTGGACATGGTCCAAAAACACGTGTATCAACTGGTACTCGAGGACGAAAACGTGCAATACCACAAGATGGTAATTTAATATTTTTTCTGTTTTTTTTTTAATTTTCTTTTATTTTTCTAAAAAAATTAAATCTATATTATTTTAGATGACAATTCTCGATTATAATTCAATAAAGATCTTTTCATTGAACCGTATCTAACTTTTTTATAGGATGTTATATGTGTATGTGTTCTTGTGATCCTTCTATTCATGCATTTATATATATATATATTGTTTTTGCTTACTTATTCTTGTAGCCTAATAAAAATTTTATTTAATACAGAAACTACAAAAAAACGAGAAAAATCTATTAATTGAAGATTGAAATTAAATCGATTATTTTATTTATAGATTATCATAATGGCAACTAGAGATGATATGGTTGAATTTACAATTAAAAGTAATGTAGTAACAAGTGAAGCTATACGACGTTTTAAACGATCAATACATATAGGAGAATTAAAAGTAAGAGATAAATTTTCATTATTTTTCTTCAAAGTTAATTATTGATAGAACCATTTTTTATGTTCTTTAATCGAGAGAGAGGGAGAGGGGGTTTAACATCATATATTAATTAGAAGTAAGTATACAAATACTATATAGTATAGATTAAATTGCTCACCATCAATCAGCTTATTCATATTATTCTGTTTTCGAATGATGAATAGTTTTGGAACAACAAACGCAAATATTGTTTAATTCTGTATCCAATAAAGACTAATTCTTACTTCAGAGTATGTCCTTTTCCTACCTAACAATATATGTAGTATTATATTCAAATTCTTGTTTTGTCTTATCTTATGTTTATCTCTGATTCTTGTACATTTTTTTTTATGTTTATATTGATTTTAAATATCAAATGATTGATTTTGTATAGAATATCCAACAATGAATCGATTTGATTCTTATTTATAATTCTAGAATCAATTGGAATTAATTACAGGTGCACAAAGTCAATCAATGAAAATTCATGTTCATGATGAACGTGGTACAAAATTATTTGATCTTGATGATGATACACGTACATTAGGTTCATATAATGTTCAATCAAAAATGGTCTTACAAGTTGAAGAAACAAATTTAAAACAAACACATATGTTCGATGAAACAGGAGATGTACCTAAATATGAATTAACGAGTGAAGAATATGCATCTCGAAAGAATACAGCTAGACAATTTTTGCAAGAACATAAAATAGGAAAATATAATCCAACAGCACAAGAAGAACATGCTAAAAAAGAACAAGAAAAAGAAAAACACGAACAAGAATTAGCAAATAAAATTAATGTTAATGATCGGTAAGTTTAGATATACATTAAATTTTGAAATAATTTTATAATTATTTCATAGATGTGAAGTTACTGTTCCAACACAACCAACGAAACGAGGAACTGTTATGTTCAAAGGTATGTAATAGCAATTATTCATTAATAAAATATATTCAATAGACAATAATTAAGAAAAATAATATTTTTCTTGTCTAATAAATTATATTTTTAAGGTGAAGTACATTTTAAACCAGGCGTATGGGTTGGTATCCGTTATGATGAACCATTAGGCAAAAATAATGGCTCGTAAGTTTTAACTATAAGAAAGAATAGAAAAAAAAAACATACTTATCTTAATGTTTATTTTTATTTTAGTGTTGAAGGAAAGAAATATTTTGAATGTCCTGATAAATATGGAGCATTCGTTCGGCCAAGTGCAGTTACCGTTGGCGATTTTCCTGAAATTGATTTAGAAGAATTATAATGACTCTGTTCTTTTTTTTTTTCTATCCCATGTTGTGATATTTGAAAATGATTGCACCTAGAGGTGAATAAACACTTATAAAAAAGCTCTTTTTAATACAAAATTTTTTTCATTTGATATTTTGAAAAATATCATTTTTTAAGAATTGAATATGAAATATTTGCTTGACTTTTATTACCGAACATTTGTTTTTAAAGTCTAGCGCCATTGACGTTATAAGACAATAAAAGATTATCTTTTATTCGTGAGAATAAAGATGAACTGTACAGATAAGTTTTTTTTATGCTCTAAAAAGATCTAGTAATTATTTTGTTTGACTTGAAATCAAATTATAGAGAAGACAGTTAACCATTGAAGCCTATCGGCCATTAAAAAAAGACTACAAAAAAAGGTTCACAATTTAAATATAGAAGATTACTTTAAGTCTAAGAAGTCGTATTTGAAAACGATTCAAATAAATATATATTTCAAGAACATGTTGTATATTGAATAATCTATAGTGATCATGTTTAAAGGTTTTGTTGACTAATTTTAATATGTTTGTCTTCTCAATTTACATGAATAATATCGAATAGAAAATGAATACAATGGTCTTAGTTTGTTGATATTATAAGAAATAGAGAACTATGGATCATTTTTAACATGAATAAATTATTTCTATAATTACGTTTATTTTTTGTTACACTATATTCAAATATGAAGTCTTAGAGAAAGAAAATAAACAATCAAATAAATGAATGATATAGAAAACGAACAGATGAAACATTGTGCTTATCACTTAGATGTAAAGCAAATTAATTTGTTTCAAAATTATCTGCTTTATTTAGGTATAAATTGATTACCTACTTTAATTTTTCTACCTACCAGGTCAAAATACAAAATTAAATTTGTAAATTATTTTAAAATAAAGATACTGCCTTTTACAAAAATTATATCACATCATGTATAGTATTTAATTAGTTTGCTTTGAATATAATCAACTGGAATATTCTGAGTAATTTTCTTTTAAAGTCTTTTATTTGATACAAACATATCTGGTAACCTTATGAATGTTACTTCAATAGATTCGTCAATGACTCAAACTTCTTATTTTTCTTGTTACTACACAATTTCTATTTGAAAAAAAAAGAACAAAATAGTTAATAATTATTTGCCCATAGTGGTAAAATGGTGTCGAAACCATGCGTATCACCAATGCAGAAACGAGAACATTTGTTATTGACAAACGTTTATCTACTGCATAAAAATGACTATTTCCAAACATTCTCACGTGTTTTTAAATAGAAGAGAAGGAAGAATAAGAACGAAAAACATCTATAAAATGCAAAGTAATCTTGTGAAGTATTACAGACATTAAGTAAACATTATGGATACAACATGGAAAAATCGTCTTCAAGAATATTGTCAGAAAAAAAAGATTTCATTGCCGAATTATCGAATAAAAAATCAATCTGGTCCAGCACATATCTTGAAATTTCAAGTAAATAATATAATATTTAGAATAATGAAAAATTAGTAACATAAATGAGTGATAAATATAAGAATGTATGTAGCTTTTTCAGTAACTCAATTTTAATAATGATCCCTGTTTTTTTTTCATTTTGGATTAGACGAATAGAACTTTGTTGTAGGTTGAAGTCGAAGTAGATGGTCATTGGTATCTGGGTGACAATCTGTGTTCATCAAAGAAAGAAGCAGAACAATCGGCAGCTAAAAAAGCATGGGAAGGCTTACTTGCTAGAAATGCAAGTTCAGTTTCAATTCCACTATCTTCACAAAATTCGACAGTCATAACTGCTGAAGAATATTCAGAAGAACCACCACCATACTCTCTAGTTGCATTAGCTGATTCAATAAACCACTTACCTGATCAATTTATGGATATCGAAAACTTTATAGCTACTAAAATTCGCGCATTCAATGGGCGAATTCGTAAAATATCACCACCGGATTCAAAAGGACGATATAAATTTGACATAACTGGTTCTTATCGTTATTGTGAAAATGTTCGACGACATCATAAAAAAAATCAAATTTACTTCATTGTTGATCCTGTTAAAGGAACTTATTTTCAAAAATGTCATGATCCAGAATGTTATGGTTTTCAATCACCCATACATTACATTACAGATGAACAAACAACACTTTCTGATTCAGAAGAAACAAATTCTCTGGATAAATGTTCATATTGTAGAAAATCTCTTACGTCTCAAAATCAAAGTAAATGTGAACGTTGTGGAGAAGTATTTTGTATCGATTGTTTACGTCTTTGTGAATTATGTCATGATGCAATTCATTGTGAACGATGTTTTGAATCATGTTTTGATTGCCATGATTCATGATTTAATTGAATATTTTTATTATATGATTTAAAAAATATTTCTGAATTCTCTCTCTTAAATATAATCTTGATCAGTTTGTTGAATTTTCCAGAAATTAATCAACACAAGCATGGTGCAGACAGAAAAGAGTATGAGCTTACTTCATTTATGAGATAAAGATAGAAACCATCGAAAAAATTTTAATATTTTCGACGATCAATTCAAGTGTTTTCTTAAAATTTGTAGCATTTTTTTTTGGCAACCTAGTTCCGAGTCATTCATTCAAGTTTTTCAAATTGGACCGCTAGAGTCTAATTATCCTTGTCGATAATAAACGAATTTGGAAAGATTTTTAAAATATCCATATAAAGGCAGAACTAACCCGATGTTTACAACCTTCAAATGTAATTAATATCTCAGCTAGTTCGGTGACATAATAAGTTTGTCTATTTTTCCAAAACATAATATGATTTTGATACTTTCTAATGAAATTCGATAATAATCGTATTACTTGACAGTTATCATGAGCTTGATGGCGTTTGCCAACAAAAAAGATTGGTAAGCTTTTCCAAAGCAAATACAAAAACATTGTACAATAAGATAGAATTTGTTAGGAGCCCAGACTAATATTTCCTAGGCAGCAAATAATTTTGAGTTCTATATAAATGTATGGTCTTATTGTAAAGATTCAAGTTTACGTCGAAGTCTCTCGAAAGTAGCAACATTTATGTACATTTCTAATTGAGATAAAAGTTTACATGATGTCTATTTAATTTCGACTGCTTCAAAACATTATTACTTTGAACTACATCTTTCTCTGATTTTTTAAAAAAAATATTCTTCTGCTCCGATTTCTTCATATCATCACTTGATAAATGAAATTTTGTTCATAAAGTCGTCTAGCATGTTCATGCAAAAAATATATCATTCGATTTAATATTATTCCACTTTCAAAAAATTCACTTTTATTTGAATATTCTTTTTTTTTTCAGTCATTAGAAATGATCATATTGACAAATAGACATTTTTTAATTGCGTCGAATGCAAAAGATAGGTGACTGATAATATGTTCATCTGTTGTATTGACTCTGCCAATATTTGTCTCTCCTATTTCTTTCTATGTTTACAAAGAAACAAATGAACAAACAAATAAAAAGACGACAAAAAAGTATATATTACAAGTATTTATCGAAAACAATGGATACAAATTGTAAGAGAATACTTCAAGGATATTGTCAACATATTTCATTGCTGAATTATTGACTGAAAAGACAATCAGATTCAACTTACTCATCAAGATTTCAGCTTCTTATAATATCTTTTTTTAATCAAATTTTACTTTGGCTAATATCTATTTATGAAATTAATCTTTTTTTATATAAAAATAATCCTTTTTTTAGTAGGCAGAAAATATTTATCAATAATTTGCATATCGAAAATTATCTCCCCAAAAATTCTTCATATTTCCTATTAAATATCAGATTTCAAAATATCATTGAATCATGAATTGTATTTTACTCGTTTTTCGAATATTGATATGTGAAGTGTACTTATACGTACAAATGGAAGTATTCGGTCGATGTTGTGTTTATGATAAATATTTAACGAAGAAAGAAACAAAACAATTAACATCAGACAGGACATTTAATATCTTTATTTGCCAAAATAAAGATAACTGACTTGAATACAATCATATTTACAATAAACATTTGTAAAAAGTCCATCGACATAGTTGATGCCATCGTTGCCATCAGTTTTTTCGTTATTAACATGCAATTTAATGGAACATATGCATCTGCAATATGCTGATATTGAAAAAAATCATAGTTAATATTTTTAAAAGTGCATGATGATGACCGAATTCGAAAAATACAGACACTTGATGAACAGAGAAACTATAAGTTTGAAGTTAGCGGTACTTAATACTATTATAAAAGCGTTCGCCGACATCATGGAAAGAAAAAACCATCCACTTTGTTGTTGATCTGATGAGGAAAATTTATTATTGAGAAAATGTCGTGATCGAGAGTGTTTTGATTTTCAATCAACTACTGCAACATTATCAATGAATACAATATATTCCATTGATAGATTATAATGTGCTCTGTTAAATCTGATAAGAAAGAGTTGATGGGTATTAAATTAATTTAATATCATTATAGGTTTTTTTTGCATGAAGGCACTTACAAGTCATCTTGGTCAAGCATATGAAACAAATTATCTATTTATTTGTACATCTTGCACTAATAAAAGTCAATCCCTTGAACACTTCATTTATCATTCAAAGCATTCTGCTATTGAATGTCTGAGTTGAATGTTAAAATTTAGAAATTAATTATTTTTTATTGTTATGTGTAATTATGCCATCTTTAACTAAATAATAGAGTTTGATATATTCAAGAACAATCAATAATATATATTCACGTCAAATGGCAAATCAGATTGTTTGTTCAATGATAAGAGTTCATTGAATTTTTAAAAACCTTCAAGTTTAAATTTAACATATGCATATACAAAGAAAAAAAAAAGGTCCATCAATATGCGATTGATGAGATAATTGTTGCATAATAAATGATTTTCTTTTTCTTCTTAGTTTTACCTATGTATATCATTTATCGAAACTTTAAGAAAAAGATCAATTAAATACATTTGAAAGATACATTTTAATTGTTAATGAACTAGTATTTTTCTTACTAATCTAAACAATCTATCTCAATTAATAAATAAAACATGAAGACATGTCAATTACATACACTTTTACTCATCATAAATTTATATAGAGAACAATTTTCAATATCAAATGAAATAAGTCCATACGTATTCTTTAAGACTTGTTATAAATACATTTATATATAAATGAAGTCTTTTTGAGTATGTTTGTCTGCACTCACGTATTTGACACGTCTCAAGTTCTTTAATGGTTTTTTTTCTCCTTCTTCTTTCTTTCTCTCTCTCTCTCTCATTCTATATATACTAAGCCAAAGGTCGAGTGACAAGAGCCGATTATTTACTTGTCTCTTGACACTCACTTGTCATTGCTCGATTGATGGCTAGTCCAACCATCATATTCATTGCTTGAATACATCTTCATCAATTTTACTTTGAAAATCAGTAATACCGACAAAGACAACCTAATGTCAATAATAAAAAGAAAAGAAGAGAATAATTTTAGTAAAGAGTTGCCGCTTCTTTTCTTTTTCATTAGTACGGCTTCTGTATTGGTGTCAATGCATACAATGAGTGAAACGAAACAATATCAAACGATGTGAACGTGCTCATTATATATGCGAACAATCTAACTTATAAGGTTGAAAAGGTTAGCATTCTATACACATACATATATAAATTAGTTTCGATGTAGACATGATATGCACACATACATATCCAAATTCGTTGAGCATATATGTACAATACAAATCCTCTCGTTGTCTCTTTTCTCTTTTTCTTTCTATCAGCTTCGATCGCATTAGATTCACTATCAATATACATCAACTCATTCTTTCGATGGTCAATTCAAGCGTGACTTGTGTAGTGGACAACCAAATGATTACGACGTATATATGTACATATACGTATATATACATATGTATGTGTGATGAAGAGGACGTTCTGTCATGAACGATAATTACATACATGTATTTCTTTTTTTTTCTCTCTATATTTCGAATTTTTTTTTTTTGTTGAACAAATATTCACACGATGAAAATTATAATGTACATACTAAAAAAAAGAGAGAATGAATAAGAGAGATGGACAGGTAAGATAGAGAGAGAGAGAGAAATGGTTATTTTATACCAACGATCATTTCTTTCTCTTACAAGTATGAAGGATGCATATTGAAGGATGGCAAACACTTAACCTCCTACCTATCATGTACATTTATACAAATGTACATATGAGATCTTCTTTTTTTTCTTCATTACAAATATGTTTCCTTTTTAAATATTCTTTTCTTTTCTTTTTTTTTTTGACTCGTAGTCCTTGTAAAGCCACATCCAGACATTACAAGGATGATCATATCAAATGAATTGTACACTATTGAGAACAGTTTCATTTTGCTTTCTAGCATCATCATATGGCAGCAGCAATACCTCGTCATCTTCTTGAAACACTTGTCAATTGTCCAGCTTGTTCACAACGTTATAATGAACCACGAGTTTTACCAACATGTGGACATACTGTTTGTAAGTTTTTGATTTTATATTTCACACACACACAAATAAATAAATAACAGAATTCTATAAAAACTATCATTAGGTACAACATGTCTTGAAAATGAGTGGAATCATCAAGAATCTTCATTAACAATAAATGGCGATAATGACAAATTGATTCATTATTGTCCAGTAAAAAGTTGTCGAAAAGAAATATGTTCAACAATAAATAATTATACAGATTTACCAATCAATCAAACTGTTCTTGATCTTATAGAATCATGTAATTTTCATGTTGAAGCAACAGGACAATGTCATGTTTGTAATCAATCACCATCATTTGTTAAATGTTCACATTGTTGTTTATTTGTTTGTTTTGAATGTGCTAATCAACATAGACGTGAAGCATTAACAACATTAACAAATAATATCAATACATTAGAACAAGAATATTTAACTATGAATGATCAAATTGATCATGCAAGACAAAAATTAATTGAAACACGACAAAAATCTATTGATACAATACGTTTACATTATACACGTTTAGTTGATGAATTACGTTGTGCACAAATAACAAATGAAGAAATTGTTGAAAGACAATCAACAATTTGTAATAATGAACTTGAATTACTTATTGATGAACATAAACAACGTTGTGAACAAATAAATAAAGCAATACAAGATTTACGAACAATAATAACAGATTGGTCAACTATAGAACAATTTAAACAATTACAATTAAAATTAACACATTTACAAGAAGATATACATGAAGCAAATGAAATATTTCATGAACGTTTACCTGAAATGAAAATATTTGAATTTGATAACGATGATTATAAAAAGAAAATTTATAATAAACAT